GCTTCTCCTCCTGCTGTTTGTTGAGTCTAGCTCTGCTGCCTTTATCGCTGTGTTCACATTTGCGCTGTGTTTGTTGCCATTTCACACATGCTTTCTGTGGATCTTGAGATGCTGATTTCCTCTTCTGTCACAAGCAGGGGCAGCTAGGAGAAATGTGCTAGCAGAAGCTAAGCCACAAAGTGCTTCAAAAACAAAGATTTCGGGCAGCCACATCTGAATAATTGCTGGTAACAAATATTTTAAGTGGGGTTATTTGGGATTTTTGTGAAATCAAACACAATAAGCAAATGTCATTTGCAAAAAATAAAGAGAATGGTACGGAGAAACAAGGCTGGGGTTGATTTTTTTTCTTTCAAGCCCAGACTGAGGATTGAACCAAAAGCCTATAATGTTTTTGTTTTGTATTCAGATGAAAGACTTAATGTATGTGTAATACATTGCCCAACATCATTCTTATATGCCATTGTTAAGATGTCATGATATAATGCATTGCTAATCCCTAATAGTTACACTTTTGAGTTGGTCAATATTCGATATGTGTAGTCCACACGTCACAACCAGCCATCACTTATCATTAATTTATCATAGACAAATAAATGCCTTGTAGAGGATTAGCTTGATCAGCTAAGCTTTGATGCCAACAGGATTTTTGCTGAGGTATTCACTGTCTTCTGATCCTTTTTTTTTCAGCTAATAAATTGGTAATATTACATTGTAACACTTCATTTTAAAGTGCAGTATAAAATTATTACTTTGGTGTGTTAGCATTTCCAACGAAATAAAGCGCCAATAAGGTATTTTGTGTGCCCTGGTGTCTCCATCTCTGTAGTGTCTCAGCCTTCCCGATCGACTGTGATATTGACGTTTAAAGTTTGTCCTCCACTCATAGAAAACTCCGCTGCATATCAAATTAAGCGCTTCCTAAACTTGCAGCCAGTCACCACTGGGTGATTTGGCTGTGTGGAGTCTAGAGTAGAAGAGCGTATAACAGAGCAGACGGCGAAGCACTAGTCCGTCGGAACGGATCGTCATCTGTTTGGAAGTATTTCAGATTTAGGGCAAGTGATGTTAAGCAAGAACAAATCATGTGCTTTAGAATTGTTTCTGCACAGGGAAGCAACACAACTAACTTGTTCAACCACCTGAAAAACATCACAAACTGCAGTACGATAAATGTATAAAGGGCAAGAAGAATATCGTCGCTAACGTTAGCTCACTGAATCCCCGGCATAAATGCTGATAAAAAATAATGGATGCAATCGCATTCCATTTGGCCAAAGATATGTGTCCAGTAAACACTGAGCAGTGAATGGTTTCAGGAAATTGGGCAACACACTGGACAGAAGATATGTGATCTCCTCATGCAATTATTTATCTAAAGCCGCATTACCTGCACTGTATGCAAAACATCGAGGGGAACGTTATTTTTCCCACAAGACTAAACAGGAGAGTCAGAGTACCCGGGTACTGAGGGATGCAATGGCCTCTTGGAGCTTGCAGGAGGAGAGACTTGTCTGCATTACAATAGACAACGTTGAAAAAAATGTTGTGAGGGCAATTTCTCTGAATAAATGAACAAGGCTTCAGTGCTGTGGCCACAGGCTCCATTTAGGAATAGGTGAGTAGCAGGGTATATTTTAAAAAGGAACAAAAAGTATAATTAATTGAAATATTGTGTAGTCTCTGATTTATTGTATGTAATCTGTGCAGATTGTGTAATGTGTGTGAAGACATGTTGAAGGATTTTAAAAGGATGTTATTGCTTTCACATACCTTATAGCAAGACGTTCCCTATTGTTACATTGGAAGTCTGCTAAATACCCATCTATCTCCCAGTGGATAAAGGACGTGATGTTTTTTCTGAAACTCGAGAAAATAAGATATACGATGAATGGTTTTACGGACAAGTTTTGTTTTGTTTTAATTAAATGGCATCTCTTTATAGTATACTTTATGGAGTTACAGACACTTCCCACTTAAATGTTTGTGCCTGTTGTTGGATTTTACAATATCTTTATAACCAGCGACAGTTATTGGGTAGCCATGATGAGCCGGGGCGTGGGGTGTGGGTTTTCGATATTTTTAATTTATTTTACCTTTCTTAGGAACATTCACATCCTGTGAATGTTTACTGCTGTGTTGCTCAATATTTTTATGTTTTATTTTTCTTCTCAATATAATATTTGGGAAAGGGAGGGGAGGACAGAACAGAAAAGGCGATGTTCAGCGGACATGTAGACGTGTTCAGTAGAAATGTTCAGCTGAAATGTTCAATAAAAATGAAACTGGGAAAAAAAAGAACAAAAAGTGTAATTAATTAATTGAAATATTGTGTAATCTCTGATTTTATTGTATGTAATCTGTGCAGATTGTGTAACATGTGTGAAGACCTTGTAATATAATAGTAATTTAACAATAATATGATGGGGAATGTTTATCAAGAGTGTGTGTGTGTATATAGAAACAGCTAAGGTTTTATTCTGTTTTTTTAGTTGTGTTTTTTTTTTGTTTTTTGTTTTTTTGTTTTTGTTTTTACACACATTTTTATTTATTAATTTTTTTCTTTGGAGAACGCAATGAGAGATCCTCGGATTGACCATGCAGTAGTCCTCTGGAAAAAGCTAGTGAGCAGTTTCTCATACAGCTGGAGGCGTAAAAAGGAGCTATCAGTGCGGTTACCCCGCAAGGTGGGGATCGAGGCAGGCCATGAGGGACTGGAGCAGCAGATGGCCATTGCTCATGTCTTGTCCACTGACAGAAAGGCCCGACACCTCATCCCCACATGGCAGGACACTCACGTCCTGCCGGCCATCAACAAATCCTTCTGCCATCTGAGTGAGTTTACTGGCCTCTGCTCTTGACCCATGGTTCAAGCTCTGATATGTCAGTGAGGAAAATGCTGCACCAATCCAAGCCAGGATTGCACCTGCAGGCATGATTGTAGTAAGTGATTATTGTGATTACATGCAGTCATATACAGAATTTTATTATAAATGAATTCAATTAAGTAGATTAAGATGTGCTACAAAATAAAACACTGTAATGTGCTGTAATCTACTTTCTGGATATGGATGTTAAATATGTTTCATTAGATTGTCGATCATTAGATTTAGTATATATTTAGATATAGTATTCGGCCCCCTTGAACTTTTCAAACTTTGCCACATTTCAGGCATCAAACATAAAGATATAAAATTTAATTTTTTTGTGAAGAATCACCAACAAGTGGGACACAATTGTGAAGAGGAACGAAATCTATTGGATATTTTAAACTTTTTTAGCAAATAAAAAACTGAAAAGTGGTGCGTGCAAAATTATTCGGCCCCTTTACTTTCAGTGCAGCAAACTCACTCCAGAAGTTCAGTGAGGATCTCTGAATGATCCAATGTTGTCCTAAATGACTGATGGTGATAAATAGAATCCACCTGTGTGTAATCAAGTCTCTGTATAAATGCACCTGCTCTGTGAAAGTCTCAGGGTTCTGTTGAAAGCGCAGAGAGCATCATGAAGACCAAGGAACACACCAGGCAGGTCCGTAATACTGTTGTGGAGAAGTTTAAAGCCGGATTTGGATACAAAAAGATTTCCCAAGCTTTAAACATCCCAAGGAGCACTGTGCAAGCGATCATTTTGAAATGGAAGGAGTATCATTTCTCAATGTTTGGTGTGACATTTGGTGTGTCTCCCAGGTGGCTTGTGGCAAACTTTAGATGAGACTTTTTAAGGATATCTTTGAGAAATGGCTTTCTTCTTGCCACTCTTCCATAAAGGCCAGATTTGTGCAGTGTACGACTGATTGTTGTCCTATGGACAGACTCTCCCACCTCAGCTGTAGTTCTCTGCAGTTCATCCAGAGTGATCATGGGCCTCTTGGCTGCATCTCTGATCAGTCTTCTCCTTGTCTGAGCTGAAAGTTTAGAGGGACGGCCAGGTCTTGGTAGATTTGCAGTGGCCTGATACTTCTTCCATTTCAAAATGATCGCTTGCACAGTGCTCCTTGGGATGTTTAAAGCTTGGGAAATCTTTTTGTATCCAAATCCGGCTTTAAACTTCTCCACAACAGTATTACGGACCTGCCTGGTGTGTTCCTTGGTCTTCATGATGCTCTCTGCGCTTTCAAGAGAACCCTGAGACTATCACAGAGCAGGTGCATTTATACAGAGACTTGATTACACACAGGTGGATTCTATTTATCACCATCAGTCATTTAGGACAACATTGGATCATTCAGAGATCCTAGCTGAACTTCTGGAGTGAGTTTGCTGCACTGAAAGTAAAGGAGCCGAATAATTTTGCACGCACCACTTTTCAGTTTTTTATTTGCTAAAAAAGTTTAATATATCCAATAGATTTCGTTCCTCTTCACAATTGTGTCCCACTTGTTGGTGATTCTTCACAAAAAAATAAAATTTTATATCTTTATGTTTGATGCCTGAAATGTGGCAAAAGTTTGAAAAGTTCAAGGGGGCCGAATACTTTCGCAAGGCACTGTACATACAACTGATCTCCATTTTGAGACTGCTGAGGATAATGCACCCACTTCAAAGAAAAAGAAGACCTTGGGGAGCTTCAAGACCACTGAGGGAACCACACTAAGACCCTCACCCCACCACAAACAACAAGCTGTAGCCTCTGAGCTACAGTCCTACCTTCAATTAGACAACACTGACAGTGAGGAGGACCCGCTGGACTGGTGGAGCGAACACCAGACACTCTATCCATGACTTTCCATACATCCATCTTTCATCCATACAGATTATCCTCTTCAGGGTCACGGGAAAAACTGGAGCCTATCCCAGGGAGCATCGGGCACAAGGCAGGGTACACCCTTGACAGGGTGCCAATCCATCACATGGCACAATCACATACACACTCACACTACAGACACTTTAGACACGTCAATCCGCCTTCCATGTGTGTCTTTGGACTGGGGGAGGAAACCGGAGTACCCGGAGGAAACCCCCGCAGCACGGGGAGAACATGCAAACTCCGCATACACAGGGCCACGTTGGGAATCAAACCCCAACCCTGGGGGTGTGAGGCGAACGTACTAACCACTAAGCCACAGAGCGCGCCTTCCATGACTTTCGAAACTAGCAAAAAAGTACTTGCGCATTCCATCCACAGTTCCCCTTGGTGTTTGGTGCTGGTGTTTCTTGCCAAAAACCTGTAAACACTGTTATTATGGCTTGACAGTTAAGGCTCTGGGTTACTGTTCGGAAGGTCGGGGGTTCAAGCCCCAGAACTGCCAAGCTGCTACTGTTGGGCCGTTGAGCAAGGCCCTTAACCCTCTCTGCTCCAGGGGTGCTGTATCATAGCTGACCCTGTGCTCTGACCCCAACTTCCTAACATGCAGTTCAAATTTCACTGTGCTATGATGTGTATATGTAACCAATAAAGACTTGTTATTTCCATTTCTGCATAGGCTTGAATTGTTTTCGTTTGGTTGCATATTGTTATATTTGATGCATATTTTCATTTGATTGACGGCGTATTTATTTTTACTTATCCTATAGTTTGGGTACTATTTTATTTCTATTTGGCTTCTACAAGATGATGCACTTTAAAGATCAGTCTAATTTGATGCAAAGATTTGTACATAATGTAGCACAATATGGAGGTGAAAGCATTAGTCTGTTTATTTAAATGTGGAGGTGGAATAAAAATGTGTTGTCCCTAAAATCAATGAACAATGGTGATAAATAATCGTGATCTCAATATTTATCAAACTAATCGTGATGGTCATTTTGGCCATAATCGTGCAGCCCTACCTTCTACACTAATATGCTTCTCACCCTAGAATTAGAATCCTAAATGAGGATTTTGTGCCGATTCCATCTGGCCAGGTAGACCACACTCACTGCTGCGGCTTACACATAAAGTCCATGACCTGTGCTCAAACCAAAATATTAAGCCTGAACATTTGCGGCCCTCGTTCCATGCCAGAGCTAGCGTTAACACCCTTTCCATCATTCCCGGCATGTTTACATGACAAGGTTGTAGCCACTGGACCACTGCCTGGAGTTTATATGTCATAAATGCAGAAAGTAAATGGTCTCATGCGTGACCTTGGGCTTGTGTACTCTCTGATTGCAATAAACACTCGTGCCGTCCTCTGCTTTAGGGAAAACACATGGTGAAATTTTCTGGCTTGGATGGAAAATATTTTGCATCATTTATAAATTGTGATTGATTTTATTGAAAGTTATAATCACAGTCATTTTCTCATTCGGGATATGTATTAAACAAATACAAATAGAAAAAAAAGTGTTTGAACACTGTACTGCAAATCTTAACTCTCTTTGATCTGCAAGTATGTTAAAAAAAACATAAAAGACTCAGTGAAATTCTACGAACAGATAGTGTGCAATTGGACTTTTTAAATTGGATTAAAATTTTCAAAGCCACGTGAATATTAAGTGCCAAATGTTCTAGTGCTTTTCCTTTTTCTATTCTCAATCCAAAACGTTGTAGTGCCAGATGTTTTTAAACCTGAAATTTTAAGACCTGTCTTTTATAGAGGTGAATTCATTTGCATGGTTAAGGCCAAACATATGGAAAGTGCTTCTGTGGGATATTTATGACTTGGACTGAAAAAAAATTAGAAAATCAGACTTTTTTTTGTTTTGTTTTTTCCTTCTTGAATTTACACCACCTGGATTTTTACAATACAAGTTTTGAAGGAAAAAAAAGATGCCGTATATATTAAAATATAAGGTAAAACTTTCCGTAGGACTCTATAATAGCATCAAGTTGCAATTGTAGATTGCATCTTGATGGGGCAGCTGAAGATCAGGTGGTAGAGCGGGTCGTTCACTAATCATGAATCACTAATCATGAGTCCCGGCCCACATGATTCAACATGCCGAAGTGTCATTGGGCAAGACGCTGAACCCCGAGTTGCTCCCGATGGCAAGTTAGCGCCTTGCATGGCAGCTCTGCTACCATTGGTGTGAGAGTGTGTGTGTATGGGTGAATGAGACACAGTGTAAGGCACTTTGGATAAAAGCACTATATAAGCGCACCATGTAAAATATAAATAAATAAATAAATAAATAATGTCCTATTATAATTCCAAGTGTGCTATGTAAATATAAATCAACATTAATCACTGCAGAGACATACTAAGCAAACTGGCTTGTCTCCCATGGGACCAGTTTGTTATTTATTTATTTAAGTATTTATTTGAATTGTTATTTTGAATGCCTACGACGAGGATTTTTCTCACTGCTCTGTGCAGACGAGTGTGTATGATGACCATGGAAAGCCCGGAGGATGTTGGCAGGGTTGCACCTCCTTTCCAAAAAAGCTGTTCAAATAAATGGAGATCACGTAGACAAGATGAGAGGAAGCAAGTTTTGCACCGCATTTCAACACTTTCCAGCTATAAACATAAAAAGAGAGAGAGAGAGAGAGAGAGAGAGAGAGGGAACCAGTGGGCATGCTAACCACCAGACCACAGTGTGTTATTGCTGCAGAGGGAGGTAAGGGTGTTAAAGACGTCTGCAATGGCCTTCGACTTTCTCTCACCAATATTCACAGTGGGGAAAAAACACTTTGCAATTCAATGAAGTGGTATTGTGTTGAATATATCCCTATGCTCTGCTTGTGTGGTGTGTGTGTGTGTGTGTGTGTGTGTGTGTGTGTGTGTGTGTGTATAGGTTAACATCAGAGTAGATAGCAATTACATGTGCCATGGTGCACTAGGCATACCATGAACAAAGTATACAGTATTTATATAAAGGCTAGACCATGGTATATGATAGAGGAAGAATAAAAAATAAAGACAAGCCAACATCAGATCAGGCTTTGAGATCACTGCCTTCAAGCCTAATATATGGGCATCTCAAATCTCTGGCACAGCGCTCTAAATCAGTCACATGTGGGAAAGTTTTCAAGACAGTCAGGATTCATTTTGTGGATCCAAGCAAGCGAGTTTTGGGCTTAAACACATGGTTAGGTGATGGCCATTGGACAAAAGTGCTGTTGAATTCTGATTGGCCAGAAGGTGTTGAATGATTTGCTCTGAGAGTAAGTTACGGCTGCAAAGGTTATTTTAATACACCGTTTCTAAAGTAACAACTTACCGTATGCATGCTCCACATAAATTGAATATGGAAATGTATGTTATTTTTGATATTGTGAAGTTTTCTGTAAGGTGATGTTTCTGTTTATTTCTCCTTTTTTTTGAAGGAGTCTCCAGTGTTAGCGCTTTGTAACAACCAGTGGTAAAGCTGTATTTAACTTTTCCACCATTGGAAACGGTTCAGGGCCGAGGACATGGTGCTTATTCGTAACATGACCAACTGTGGTGTTGTTGTTGTTGTTGTTGATGTTTTTTAATCAGAGAGAGAGAGAGAGAGAGAGAGAGAGAGAGAATTACTGTTAATACTATAGTATAATAATATTTTTCAGTGATGTTCACAACAATAAATGGGTAAAAAGTAATACTTTTAATTAAGAAAAATTGTACTTGTAGCCAAATTGCTGTGGTATGAGAGAATTAAAATGAGTTTTATTGCGTTATGCTATTGGTAAATAATTCACTTTGTGTCATTGATTATTTTCCTACAACAGCACATCAGCAAGTGTTTGATTACTTACTTAACATACCATACTTTAGCCTAAGAAAGTATGCCATAGAGATTTCACTTAATTCCTACACTTCATCACTTTTATGTACTTGAATTTTCATGCAACAGAGTGTACAAAAGGGGAAGACGGTAACCAGGCCCATGTGACATATTAACCACTCACTTTAACTTGGCGTCCATACCACCAGGATAGAAAGTAAGATTATACAGAAGGCTGGGTGGACAGATGTAACGCTAGCTTGACAGAGAATGAAAAAGAAGTCCAGACATCTCCAGACATCAAAACCACTCTGTATTTACATTTTTGCCCTCAACAGAGATCTGTCTGAGAAAAGGCCCATGTGCGCTTGGGTTTATTCCCAAGTGGATTGGATTTTCCCTCTCTGGTATTGTTTATAAAACACTGTGGGCCCAAACACACTGTGCCCAGGTTAGGTTTCAAAACTGTACACTTGGGGAACTTTGAGCACTTTTGCTGAGTTTTGTTTAGAGAAGAACTTCCAGAATGTCGAGCATCCAATTAAATTTGAGCATTCCTGTAATTTCTTAATTGAGCTAATTAAATGTTGGCAGTCGTTGTGCGTTTAAGCAAGGAATGAGGTCGGTGCCTTCACTCTGCTTTCACTGGCTGACCGCAGACGTCCAAAAGAGGTGATAAATTCTAATGCAAACATCTTTGTTCTGCAATGTGAAAGGGTCTCTGCTATCGCTGCCTGTTTATCCTTTAAAATTTCTCACATGTGATCTGTATCGGTTTCATTAAACTGTTTGATCTGATGGATAAACACAGTTTGAGAGGTTGGTTTTGGCGAACGCAGCTTCAGAACGTCCACAGGCTCGGAATGCGAAGACCTCTCTGTTTCACGGGGCCTGGGGAATAATGGGAAATATTTCTTAAATGACCAGGCTCATGCTGATTACAGCGAACATTTGGGGAAGTTCGCATTCTTCGAACAGCTTGTGCGCATCACTTACAAAGCAAGAAACATGAAATAACAAGAATCGTATTTGAGATTGAATCTGAACTGGAATGAATGCGTTGTAAAAATCGAATTGTTCATTACAGAAGGTGCACTGGTCAACAGCTTTATCGTTGCTACGATCACAATGTGGAATTATCAAGGGAATGTGATGAAACTCAATAAAAACATTGTGATCATAGCAAGTGTGTCAAAATTCTATATAAACAGGGACTACAAAACATTGTTTACATCCTTCCTGTCTCTCAGTGTAACGATGCCAAAAGAAATAAGTCGGGACCAAATTCTGAGAGGAGATCTTATATTGGTATTACATTTCATAGTAAAGAAAAGAAATGTATAGGTTCTTCAGTCGGCATTTTGTTTGACGGAACGTTCTTCAGTATAAAGTTGACGTTATTGAAAAACCCCTTCTCAGATGCTTTACTCAAGAAAAATCTGGCATCCTCAGAGGCATGAACTCCACTCAGGTAATTATCATAGCCAGAAAATTGACTT